ACTATCTTGTATATATTATTACGCAGTTTTCGATGACATGAGAAAAGTGTCTTGTTATCGAACAAAATCTTTAAATAATCGGAGACTAAGTATACAGTTGCGAGTGCAAGTCAGCTCTCAGCTGTCTGCATTCTGCAGAGTGTATATATATATATATATATATATATATATATATATATATCACTTAGCATATGTTCTCGGAGGTGAGAGATGGAACGTTGAGAGACTCGCGAACGAGAATTCTTCGCACGGACGGTCTTTCCTACCCGTATACTACTTGTTAGTTTTTTACGGGCACGTTCTGCCACCTTAGTGTATAGAGAAATAGTGATTGAAGCCTCAACTAATAATAGTTCATCCCACCTCACATTGCCCAATTAATTAAATCATAACCTTTGTCCCATTTTCTTGAACTAAACACTATGTATCTTTTTTCAAACTCTTTCTCTATACTAGCTTCATCCCATCATCCCCAACTTGTTACACACTTGCTTAAGAAAAAATCCTAGCAGAAAAAAACTCTGAAAAATTACTGATTTTCGAGTTCAATTACCTAGAATTCAAACCTGTACTCCGATAAAGTAGCCGTGCTCTAACTAACCAAGCTGGTCCTTTTTATAATTCATATAATATTTTTAATTAAGACGTATAAATGTTTGATAAGCATTATATAAATATTATGTTATGTATTTCTTTAAACAGTTATAATGTTAATTTATGTGTCTTACATATGGCATGGAAAAGTAATATGGTAAATTACTTATTCCTTTAAATGAAATATATACTTAAACTAGGGGGCCAAAGGGAGACTTGAATAATTTTTCCGTACCATGAAGTCCATGTACAAAACAAAGGTTTTTCTAACACATTTGTTACGTATAAAACTATTTTACTGGTTAAAAATGTCTCAGAGTGATACAATGAGTTTAAAACACAATTACTTAAGCAAAAACCATAACTTGCAAATTTTGGTTTGAAATAACTTTTTTCGAATGATTCAACCCATTTTAGAAATAAAAGGTCTCTTGTAATTTTTTGTGAGATCATATAAAAAAAATGTTACGAATTGTCTAAGACCGAAAATTAAGGCTTTTACCAACTTTACTTGTTCATAACTTTTAATTGAATTAATCGTTGTTAAAATCTTTAAAATGTTCCTTTTTTCCGACACGTATTTTATCGATTAGGCCGTTGCAATTTTTTTTTGTCTACGTTCCACATTTAGTAATATAAAACCAAAAGTAGCCTTTTTGGTAGTGCGCTGGCTTTTGGTACGTATGCCTATAAAGATAAGTATAATTTCATGTACACCGTAGGTTTATACATGAGTCGAAGTTTTTAAACATACAAGTAGTGTAGATGTACAAGTAGATTAGTTATAACTACATTAAAGGGCTACAATTTGTTTTAACGCTTAATTATTTCAACAAATACAAAATTCAGGAAGTACTAACATAAATACTACAGTAAGAATTACCATACAATTCTCTTTACACTTCTGTATGAATCACCAAGTAGATAACGAAACAAATCTGACGTATTTAGTATAAAGAAGTAAATAGTGTAACACGGGCAACGCGGCAGACTTTTTAAAACTCGCCTGGGGCAGCGCTGGTCTTCAGTTCTTAGATTTTGGCCCCGAGCGCTTTCCAGCGCCACCCCTGGGGCCAACTAGAAGTAATCAATCAGACTCATCATCATGCGTGCTAGTTTTTTCAGTGGAGTAAGGCCTAGTTTAGTCAGACATGTGGCGTCTCACAATTAGGGATGTCAATTCGATATCGATTTTTGAATATTTGAATACTACTTTTTCGAATAGGGTCGAATATTCGAGCCAAATATTCGAAAACATTTGAATATTCGAAAAAAATCCCAAAAAAATTACGGAGGTAATTAATTGCATGTAGAGTGGTTTAATCAAAGAAATAAACAATTTATATAGAAACAGATTGCACCTTTGACATTTTTAGAATGAACATTTTTTTTTTTTTATTTAATTATTTATTTACATTCAAACACATTTGAACACATTTTAAACATTCGGAAATAATATAAATTAACCGCACATTGTGCATCAAAACAAAAATAAGGAGCTAATGAATAAAATCATGGAAAGTATCTCTTAAACAGTATCAGTCTTGAGACATGGAAATTATAGGTACATAGTTATTTGGCATAGAAAATCACATGAAGATTATATAGAAAAACACATCATTCAAACCACAAAGCGTTGTCACATGATCTTAAGAATACTAGTATTTCTAGTAACTTTCCCGACAGCCGAGTTCGTAGCTGATTTTCAATCAAGCCCGCGTGGGAGAAGAGACGTTCTGATGGCACAGACGTTGCCAAGATAGAAAGGTATTCTTGCGCCACCTGGTACACGTACTTGTACTCTCCTTTAATCGCTGCCCATGCACGAAGGGGATTCGGGAAATCTTTGCGCTTAACGGGGGTGCTGTCCAAATACATGCGAAACTGGATTGGTATTCCTCCTGCCATATCTTGGCCGGATTGTGCAGCCGATCTTCCCTCAACCTCCTTGTCAAATGAATCCCAGAAGCTGTCGCTCTGCTCTGCAACCGTGCTCTGGGCCTCAGGAACCTTATCAGACAGCGGCTGGGTGCTTCCTTCAGCCATCTTCTTTTTGACTAGGTCGCCTGTTAAAATATTATAATTTGACCTCTTTCCTCGGGTAATATAGAAGCAATCGACGGACGATAAAATACGGACAGAAAAAACTCATAGCATTCGCTATACTGCGTCGACTTGATATATCCTGCCAGAATCTAAACTTTTTAAAGCGCGGATCCAATAGTGTAGCTGCAGCATACATGGGCACTTCCTCTATGCTGGCAAAAGCATCTCGCAGTAAGGTGGTCAGATTTTCTTTGAGAGCACATGCCTCAGGCTCAGTCAGCAGGTAGTCGTCAATTTCCTGCAAAAAAAGTTCAATAAATTCTGCACAATAAAAAAGACAACCATAAATTATGAAAAAAAAAAATTACTCTCCTGAGGTTATTTATCACAGGGATAGATTTACTTAGCGTCACTATTTTATCTGTGCTCACTTCTTTAGTAGCTCGTGCTAGGGGCGCTAATAGGTCTCGAATCTCCTTCAATATATATCCTCCATAGGGGATATGAGTTCAGGCGCCCTCTCTTTGCTCGCTCGTGTGCGTTGTAATTCTAACACTACCCGGGTAACGAGAGGAGCAAGATAAATGTACCTGCAAAAGGAAATGTAAATACTGATTGTAGAGACGGTCAAGCCTGTCACTGGATATAACACAAGCAGACAAGCACACACTATATGTTAACGCACCTGTCCAGCATGTCAAAACAGGAGTTCCACCTAGTCTTAACTTTCTGTATGAGGTTCAGACACGTACTGTCCAATTTGCCATGCTCGTCTTTCTGAAGCTCACGAAGTTTTAGAGAGGAAATTTCACTTTTTTTAAAAAACGTAACTTTTCTCTTAACTTTGTTGAGGATTGTTCTAAAGTTGGTGCTGCCTGCCTCCACCTCCACCTCGTCATCAATATCGTTCTCGTTTTCAGGTACCTCGGGCTCTGGAGATGTCCGCTCTGAGGGAAGGGTGCTCATGTTCCCGATTGCCTTCTGCCCGATTAGATTGAAGCGATGGCTAAGGTACGATAAATGTTTTCCCGCTCCAAATTCTTACTTAGCTGCTGCCTTAATGTTTGCTCCGCCATCTGTTACCACGGCGCGCACTTTGTTATAATCAATTTTCCAGTCATCGCGACACATCTCTCTCATTGCTACTACTAGGTTAGCGGTGGTTTTCCTTTGATCCATTTGTCTGGCACCTATTTCAAAAGTGGTGATCTCAGAACCTAAAAACATAAATAAAATGTATTGGTACTTTCCCGAGCTTTGCGTGCACCTGCGCCAAGAAAAACAACCGCGTAGTGTTCTTCGAAGCTGCCTTGGTACGTGGTGCGCGGAGTGGCACCGCGAAAATATATTTAGACGTTAGTTCTATTACCTGAAGTGATGTGCACGGTTACACCTAAGAGGCTGCGCATAGTTTAGCGCTGTGTCCAAATGTCCATCGTAAGGCAGATGTGATCAGCTTTCTCAATCATCACACTGACCCGTCCTCTTAATAGCTCATACTTTTCGATGAGCATTTTCCTTATTGTTGGTTCGGACGGCAGTTTGTATAGAGGTTGCAGCGTCTGAGCAAATTTGCGAAACCCCGGTCGCTCTGTTGTGCTAAGAAGCATGTTATCCTTTGCCATCATGTACAACAAAGAGTTGGTACACTGGGCATCTCTTTGGCCCCCGGCTAACAAAGGAAACACATTGCAAATTTTGGTACATTTAGTACAAGTACTTTTACTCCAAAATGTGTGATACTCACCGGAGAATGCGTTTAGGTTATTAATGTACTTCTCAATTGAATTAAAGCTGCCCGAGGGAGGTGTAGGTTTGGGTATTTGATCTCGGTCCTGTAATTAGTTAGTTGGGGTTATTGACAAGCAACTTGCGGGACGAAAATATTTATGTACTTACTGTGTTTTTACAAAAGAAAACGGTTCCCCGCCCTTCCGCTCCCCTCTCCCGCCTCACGCTTTTAGTAAGTAACTCCAAAATCCATAGAGATATAAGAATAAAGTGGACTATCTCCACCTAGCCCTGTACTCTGCAGTGATGCCAGGAGCGAGAGAGAAAGCTGCCGAGAGGCCCTTCTTGCTGTCTCTCTCTAATAAGACGAGCATATATACGAAGTACAGATAGCAAGAGGGGCCTCTCGGCAACTTTCTCTCTCGCTCCTGGCATCACGGTTTTGGCTTCATACTTGCTCCATTCTTATATCTCTATGCCAAAATCATCTCAAGTGAATGTGCAGAAACTAACCTGTACAGGAAACCTCGGATCTCCAGCGTCCTCTTCAATATCGCTGCCGACACGAGCAACCGATGCTGTCCCTTTTTTCCCTTTAGAAGATAGCGACAGCAGGTCAATTTTGTGAATTTCTACTAGATGAGCTCTTAAATTTTAGGTTGTACCCTTGTAGACCAACAAAGAGTTACACTGGCGGCACTTTGCTTTAGTATCATTCTCGACTTTGCTGAAGTACGTCCAGACGGAACTAGGTGTCATTAATATTTAGCTTTATGCTAATAATATTACTACTAATAATAAACAACACGTAAACGGACAATTTAAATTTTTGATATGACCGCGCCAGCAATGCAGCAAACACAACACACAAGCACACAACGGACACAACCACTGAAGAAAATAAAGTGCGCGTTCCAAAATAGTAGCAGAATATCTGCTAGCAGAATTTTTTACGAAATGCGGCAACGTTTCACATGCTAAAAGCAATCAACCTGCCATGACTGACCAGAAGTATAGTAGATATCCGTCACGGTTCCATGCGGCGTTGCCACTAACCTGCTAGCAGACACTTTTCTTCTCATTTTGGAACGCGAGGAAAAGCGGACTACTTCGGAACTACCAACTGCGAATAATAAAACGAGATTCGAGATTTGAGATCGACTCGAGAGGCCTCGGAGTGCTTCGGAGCAGCTTATAAATATATTTGGGATGTTTTATATTTTCGAATATTCGAAACTATTATTCGAATACAGCGAATATTCGAAACATGATATTCGAACTCGAATAGTGGGGTATTCGAAATCGATTATTCGAATACATTCGATATTCGAGTTCGAACTTTCCATCCCTACTCACAATCTCACATCTCTCGCGCTTCAGGCTCTACTTGCCAGGTGGCCAAGCCTCTAATAATTCTCTCCCATCAAGCGGTGAGATTCCCGCACGATTAGTATATAAGCGCGATCGAGTCAATCTGAGCCCACATCTCTCCTGTGTCTAAGGCAGGGAGTACGTCATCAGCCTTACTGATGAGTCCTGGCGTGCTGTCGGGACGAAACACCTTTTTCTCTCTCAAGTAGGCGATAACAATCGCTAAAGACATGCCCAAACCCGAGGTAGCGGAAAAGTCCCTAGCGTTTCAGCAGACGAGTGCATTCAAATGGATTGCAGATTGCTATTGACGTTGCGTCTGGAAGCACCCTTAGAATATAAACAACAGAGATTTAATCAGGTGTTATTTTTTACTGAAATCACATAGGGGAGACCAGGGCACGCAGAGCACTCTAACTTTATTGAGCTGTATTTCTTAAAGGAATGAGGATTAAAGTAGCTAAAAAATTGTGTTGTAAAAGTATGATACTTGTGGACCTAGCCTACAAGTTAAAAAATTATTGTGCAACATTTAAAATTTAAAATAAAAAAAATTGCTCGTTCTTAAAAAGCTCTACTATGCTCCAAGGGTGGGGTATGGTGTAGTACGGGCTGGGGAATTCGTAGCGTGAGGGATACATAATAGTTATAAGGTGTGTGCTATAGAAAAAAAGTAAGGTAATTTATTTTTTTATTTTCGAATCTTTCTTTACATTGTAAGTGAACTTATAAAACTAAATCATGAACACATTTAATAAAATTCTTTGGCTTTTGAATATGTTATTCACTGCATTGAATCAGAAAAAATTATTAAATAAATTCTGTTACTCTGGGAAATCAGTAGCAAAAAGGATTGGGCAGTCTGGAATCGATATATTATTTAGATTGCAAATAGTAGAATTCGCACTCTGATGTTCATTTAATTGTACTATTTTGTTAATATTTAAAGCTTTCAGTGAATTTCTTCGCGTGTTTTTTGTAGTCTTAACAGGTAAACTACCTAATGTTTACATTGTTCTACAAAAAATTTAACCTAAAAATCAGCTGTGTAATGCTCGCGCCAGAGCTCGCACTGCCGCGGCCGGGCTACGCTCTGCCCCAGCCAGATGCTACGATGTGCCCCATATGATACGCTTGCTTGTTTTTGTTATAATTTTGTTGTTACTTATTTTCTAAAAAAATTAAAAAAAGGAAATTGTAGCTAACGAATCCAGCTTTCAAATAAGCCCAATTGTAAAAATGTTGCTGTGATAGGCAATATTTAAACAACTGTTGAAAATGATCATCCGATCAATGTAAATACTACTAATATAGAATTTTTTTTTAAATAAATAAATACTTATTATAATGCTTTAAAATATTTAAGGGAATTCAAGGGACATCAGTATAGGTGTTCAAAAAAAAAGAACCTGAAAATTATCATTAGTTTTCCTTTTATTTAAATGCCACGCAGACCCAGACTGCCACGATTACCCTGGTCTCCCCTAGATCAGGTGCGTATTTTGAGTATGTTTCTATTTTAAAGTAATTTAGCTTAGTGATTTAAGGACACTTGCAATATTACATCCAAATATTTAGACAAGCTTTATTAAATTATAATACTAATTGTTGCTTCACGTTGCAGATGCCTCCTTAAAAATCAATTTGAATAATGCATTTACTCTGGTAAGCGATGCAACTTGGGTTAATTTTCCAACTCACATTGATTTGATGCACATGTCAAAAGTGCCCTAGGCATTAGAATGGATGTTGGTTCACTGCCAGAAGGTGTTCATTACACAAGGTAAGAACGTCGATATTGTATAAACAATTAAAGTTGAAGCAATTGTTGGAAATCGATTATCTTCTTTTATTTACAGTATTCGAGCTTGCGATAAAACAAATGTAGATAAGGGATCTGTTTATCGCATACTTATCACTGCAGTACAGCCAGAAACAGTTCCTAACAATTTATCCCTTCTAGATCTCATCTTTAAAAATGCCGAATTCAAACCAAATACTACCCAGCGACACTTTACTGTTGTCCCTGATGCTTCAAGATGGGAAGGTAAATTAAGAACCATTTTGTTATTAAAATACTATTGATGAGTCAATAAACGTTTGATTTTTTTTTTTTTTATTATTGAGACAGAAAAGTGCCGAAAAAGACAAGAAGGGTTGATTTATCATTGACACAATGCAAGTGAAACCTCGTTTATCCACGCAAACGCTGGAAGTCAATAAAATGATCAACATTTCATCACAATCGGAAACCGTCCTAGGTTTTGCAGTACATGGCGGTTGTAATACTGAAGGATGCGATTGCCAAATATTGGGCAGACATTGGCGACGTTCACGTCGATTATTCCATAGAATTTCACCGTATTCGCTTGATAAATGGTGGCCTTGCCATGCAATCCGGAGCTGGCATCCATCGATGAGAATTTTGCAGTTTCTTGAGAATCAGAGAAATCGTACCTAACGTTACTCTCAAGCACTGAGTTCAGGTTTTAAGGTGCTTTTTCAAGATCATTAGAAACCCAGTGGTCCACTATACTTCTTATTTCACAGTTTTTCTCAATTTTGTCGTTCTTTCATCGGTATAATATTTACTGTAAAATTCCTCAACAGGCCAGTCGACTCAAAAATCGGTCCTTCAGAAACAGCTCAAAAGTCAATGATGAATCAGACAAACAAAAATGATAAAGAGAAAATCACAAACTGGGATGAGTACAATGAAGCTCTACGAAATATGAAGTGCAATTGGCTTGCTAAGCTTGGTGAGTACGATTTCCACATCCAAATAGATAGTATTTATTACTCATTTTAATCGTGCGATGAATTCTACGAGTTCAACTTATGCTATATCTTTTTTTTGTTTTCTG